GGCCAGACAGATGAAGCCTCGTGCTCCTACCAAGCCCGAAAGAAAGTTAATACGCTTGGAAGTTCCACCACTCGACACCCAGCCAGAACGACGACACCTGAGCTGTGACGAAATGGAAGAGATTGGAAAAGTGTCAAGAGAGAGGAGACGGCAGAAGAAGGTAGTGTGTATGTGTGTATGTGGCAGGAGAACAAGCGCACCTGCATGCCTTGGCGAATGTGGGGTGGTTTAGAGGGCAGCGCAGCAGGAAAGGAAAGGGCAAGGGGTCGTTGTGCGTATTAGCTTCCCAGTAGTCCCTTGACCACATGGTGCCTTGCAGCTGAGGTGCCACAAGCCGTCTCAAAGACTTGGTTTGGCTTCTGAACGCTCTGGTGAGAGAACTTTTTCTGGGTAACTGGCAAGAAGAAGAGGAAGGAGGAGAAGTTGAAGCAGTTGCTGTGTCTGGGGACAGAGTCGTCTTCTGATCAGCTAGTCGACCTAGCCACCAGGCTGTGATTTGTCCCTTAAGGTGCTGATAAGCGCTTTGTCCTGTTCAGTTGCGAGGCTCAGTGCAAGACGGTCCAGTGGAAACATAACACTCCCTCCCTCCCTCCCAAACGTTTTCTTTGGAGCATCTTGGGTTGGATGAACTCTGGCAGAATCCAGGGCTACCTCCTCTTGCCAACGTGCTGCCCCACAGTCACCGGCTGTGGGGACAGCCTCTGGCTCCCTGACACAATCAGAAACGAGGAGGTGACTGCAAGACTTTTTTCACCTGAGGCACGCCTGTGCCTGCTGTGCTGCACTCCTGCTAAGCCCGCCGGGGGGTATCTGTCTGAGGACCCAGCTCGGGACGGGAATCGCACTCCCAGAGGAGGGCCTGTCCCTGTCATCCCATTGCAGGCTGCCGACTCCTGTTTGTCCACACTGTTGCGATGAAGCCCTGCCTGTAGCTTCTCTGAAGGGAATGCAGCAACTCCAGGGCCTCCCTAAATGCTAATCGGGACCTGCCCTTTGCTTGCAGAACAAAGACAGCCCGATAGAATGGAAAGAAAAGTGCCGGATGGTGAGATCTGGGGATGGCCCCGTTGATGAGCACTGCCTGCCGTCAACTTTAGAGGCTGACTTGGGAGAACTGGTTAACCGATATCGCAGGAATGCCGTCGTGAGCTATCTGAAGAGCTCCGAGCTGTGCAAAGAGCTCAATGTTCCCATCGCCGACCCAACGCTGCAGGAAGGTAAAGCAAAGACCAAGGGCCTGAGGTGAATGCACTAAATCGGGCAAGTTCACGTCTCTTCCCATGACTGTTTTCTCTGTGCACTTTGTCAACAGGCCTGCTGCATCCAGGAGACAAGATCATCAAGGAGGGAGGAGACATTAGGAAGCTCAGGCAGCCCGGAGGATACTACAGCACAGGACGTGCTGATGCTCTGTCATCTGGCAGCACCTCCAGACCAGGAACTGCATCTGGAAGCCAGGCCAAGGAGGCGGAAAATAGGTTTGTTCAGAGAGGGCTTAAGATCAGGCCCCTCCTGCTGCCCCGCTGTGTGTCACCGCTCTGCGCTCAGTCCCCACGGGGTCAGAGGCAGTACCAAGGTACTGGAGCGAACCATTAGGATGCTGCAAGGGAGCAGCGAGCGACCGTGAAGAGGCAGATCCTCTTCTCAGCTGCACGCCCGCTCCCGTGCTTTACCTAAGCCATTGGGTTGCAGGGGTGAGCAGTTTGTGGGGTCTGGCAGGAGCCCTGCAGACTAGCTGGGACTAGCTCTGTGCTCTGAACCACAGAGGTGACAAAGCTTCTCCTCAGACCGACCCAACACTTGTCTGAAATCCCCTCACAGAATGTTCATTCTTGTGGAAGAAAGACGGGCCTGAAGAGCCGAGCTTTGGATGGCTGGAGAAGCTTTTGGAGAGAAAACAACATTGCAAAGCAGAGCACAATCTTCTTTGTTTATCTCAGTTGAAGGGTTTAGATACGACAGTGATGGGCAACGTACCAGCTCGTCAGATAGCTTCACAAGCTGGCATTTCCAGCGTCAGTCATGTCTGATAAGGACCGACACGGTCTGCCCAAGTCTGGCAGAGCTTCCCAGGGCCTGGAAGCCTGGAGAGCTGGTTCTTGTCAGGCTCACTTTTGCCCTTACTAAGAGAAGCAGTGAAACTGCCCAGAATTTCATTTCTGTGAAGCACGCTATTCTCTCTTATTTTTTTTTCTCTTATTCCCTTCCCCCCCCCTTTTTTAACAGCCATCTTCAGAGGAGTAAGACGCAAAAGTCGAGCGACAACAAGTTCTGGCCTGGTCACCTCCTGGACAAGCTCTGCCTTTACTTTCCTGACAAGCAGCACGACAGGGCACACGCCTTGTTCAGCTACGTTCATCCAACCAAGCCCGTCTACCGTGGCATCTAAAGCCCTGACTGCAGCTAGCTCCTCAGCGAGCCGGGACACTTGGCATCTGGAGACACTGCCTTCCAGAAGACCAGCTCCACCTGAAGCTCTTCTCCAAGCAGCAGGAGATGCGTGCACAGCTTTGTGATCCCTCGGTCAGCTCGGGGGATCCGGGCCCAGATTCTGGATAAAATAAACGTGTTAAATAAAGAGCCTATGCTCAAGCTGAAGGTGTGGGAGGGAAACGTGGCTTGTGAGACGTTTCTCACCTGAGGGAGCCCTTGAAACACCATCCCTTTCCCAAAGAAATGTTTCCGTCCTGCATTTTGAAGAAGAATTCAGCACACCACGGGCAAGCAAACCATGGCGTAGCTGCCAGGGATAGCCAGCGGGCAAACCTGAGCATCAAACAGCTGGGCTGTCAGAAAAGGGAGCTGAAGCATTTTGTGAGAGGTACCTACCGGGGGGAGCACCACCAGACGACAAGCTACCAGCTAGAGCCAGGCCAGCTGGAATTCCCTCTGCCACCTAGTCCTGCCTCCAGACACCACATACAGGATTTTCAGACAGCGAAACTGATCTGTAATGCTTCAAAGCCCGTCTACAATTCCATCAACAATGCACAGAGATGAAGGGAATGAGACACGGACTCTGCATATGAGTTCAAGCAAAGACACTTTATTTTTACTATCTATCCCTTTTATAATAAGATCTAGTGTTCACGAGCAAGCAAAACCCATTTCATTGGCTACTCTCTTTCGTCCACGCGTCTCTTCAGCGTTACTTGTTGGTTCTTCAAGCTGGGGCACGCAAATTCCTCTTTCAGGGATGTAATACGGTCGAATATTTCGACTGGGTACCCGTTCTAGCGTCCCTTTCTCCTGGGGTCTGGGCCCTGCTTCTGGATAAAATAAACATGTTAAATAAAGAGCCTATGCTCAAGCTGAAGGTGTGGGAGCTGAACCAGCCACAAAATACGCTTCTCAACTGGCAGCTTTTCTGCTCTCCTGGTAACAAAAGGCCTCCGCATTTTGTGATGGGTAACACGCCATACTTCCTGAGTCCAGGAGCTGTAGCTGAAGCGTGTGTGAGCAGCAGGTGGTGGAGGGACACCCTGCTCAATACCCAGCCGCCAGGATCCGACCCTTCCCCAGGAGGCACCTGGCGCTGCCAGTTCCCGAGGTCTGACCCTGTCTGGTGACAGGGACGCTGGGGCTCTATGGAGCAGCCATCTGCAAAACACGTCTGCCAGGGCTCTGATGGTCACCAAGTCGCTGAGCCTCTTGTTCAGTCCCAGGAGAGAAGATTAGGCTGGTGGATCCTGGAGAAAGATTGCAGGAACCGCAGTTACAATTGGAAAGAACGAAGCAATTATTAATTAGTTAATGCAGATCAATGACCCCTCCGCAGGAGCCTGTCACAGCACTTGGTGCCACAATAGTCCCCTTCCCTTGTGACACCTGAAGAGTCATTACTGGGCCAGCATTCATCAGTCATGGGGCAGGGCCAGCTCCTGCTGCCACCCTTGACGTGGCAAGTCCCCAGCTGACTTCTTCCCCACTTTTTCCTTCAGGAATAGGGTAATAATTTGGAGGGGAACATGGCTTGTGAGAGGTTTCCCACCTCGGGGAGCCCTTGAAATGCCATCCTTTCCCCGAGGAAACGCTTCCGTCCTGCGTTTTGAACAAGGATTCACCATGCAAAGGGCAAGCAAACTATGGCGTAGCTACTGGGGACAGCAAGCGGGCAAATTTGACCATCAGACAGACACCACATACAGGATTTTCAGACTGATCTGAAACTGATCTTTAATTCTTCAAAGAAAGTCTACGATTCCATCAACAATGCACAGAGATAAAGCGATATCTGTGTCATGGTCACAATACTCAGTACTGAAATGGAGGGAGGAAAATGGGATGTCCTTTATGACAGGAACTCAGTTTTACTGGGAAAGAAAGAGCCCAAAGGCCCTCCAAGTGCCCCCCAATACCCTCCAAAAGCCTCTCAGTACAGCCCAGAAAGTCCCAAACAGATCTGCTCCTGGTTACTCGTGGTGACCCTTTCTGTGGAAGTGAAGCTGAACAGAGGGAGAGACCAGGCACCTGCGCAGCCCCTCCACTCTTCTCCGCACCACCTAGACGCCTGCGCGGGGGCACCAAGTGTCCTGGTTTCGGCTGGGATAGAGTTAATATTTTTTTCTTCTAGCAGCTGGCGTAGTGCTGTGTTTTGGATTTAGGGTGAGAATAATGCTGATAACACACCGATGTTTCAGTTGTTGCTGAGCAGTGCTTACACCAGTCAAGGACTTTTCAGCTTCCCCTGCTCTTGCCAGGTGCAGAAGAGGCTGGGAGGGGGCACAGACTGGCCAAAGGAGTATTCCATAGCCCACGGCCTCATGCTCAGTATATAAGCTGGGGGGGAACTGCCGCATCAGTCAGAGGGTGGTGCACAATGGCATCGTGCATCGCTTGCTTTGTGTATTATTATTACTACTACTATTTCACTTTATGTCAACTATCAAACTGTTCTTATCTCAACTCACGAGTTTTCTCGCTTTTACGCTTCCGATTTGGCAGTTGGACTTGATGGAGGTCTTTTCCAACCTGAACGATTCTATGATTCTCTCCCCCATCCCAGCGCGGGGGGGTGGGGAACCGAGCGAGCGGCTGTGCGGTGCTTAGTTGCTGGCTAGGGTTAAACTGCAACACAGGTGTTCAGCTTTATTTCTTCATGTGACGGCAGAATGATACAGCCATTCAAACTTACTATAAGCAGAAACACAACTCCTCAAAACAGCCAACATCTTTCTAAAGAATATTGTGTCACTTACATTAATCCAGGTCCTTTTGCACTGGTACGCAGGTAGTGCTTTTTGCCTGTACAGTAAGTGTTATCCGTGAATATTATATGAGAGAATTCAATTGATGAGGCCTGTTAAACAGAAGTGACAGCAATGAGCACCATACAATAAAGTTTCAGCCATTTACTGTCGATGGAACTCAAGGTAACTAGGTTATTTTAACTTTCGAAATCTGTTTACGCAAAAATGAGACAAGTAGCATAACATGATCTGAGGCTCGGCTTCGTTAAGGGGCCGGGGCTGAGGCCTCTCTCCTCTCCAGGCGCCGCAGTAAGTGGGACCAGCCCGGCCCGTCTCCCGCCTTCCTTCTCCCCGGCACGGCGCCGCTGCCCGGGCGCCCCTTTCCCGGCGGCGGAGATGGCGGCTCTGCTGTGGCGGGCTCCGAGAGCTCCGCAGCCCCCTCGGGAGCCCTGGATGCGGCCGCGGCCGTGGCGGCGAAAATCAACGCGATGTTAATGGCCAAAGGGAAGCTGAAGCCGGCGGCCAGCACGGCGGACAAGGTGGGTGCCCGGAGGGGCGGCGGGAGCCGGCGGGGCCGCCAGGCCGGGGGTGCGGGGCGAGGTGGGTGTCACGCCTGTTTTGTGGAGACCTGCGGCCGTTGCTGTTCGGGAGAGCCCTCAGGGAGACGGGAAACGATGGAGGATTGCTCCGCAAAGTAGGATATAACAAAAAACAATGAGAAAACCTGTTAATTTTTTTATTTTAGAATAACAGGAAACAGTGGCGTAGCTGTAAGGTCAGTCCTGCTGCTCTTCTGTAAGGCTTAACCAAAGCGATCTGTAGGAAGGTGGTAGACTTCTTTCTGAGGTGTTTTCCGAGTAAGGACAGCTGGTGTAAAAGCTGCTGTATAAGACACCCAGTGTCAAATGTGACACCAAGTTATTTTCATGCTTCAACAAGTTCAGTAGGAGCTGTATGTCCAACTTCTAAACCACCTGGTCAGCTTCTGGTCAGCCCTGAGCTGGGCCTTGGTCAGCCCTGAAGTGGTCAGGCAGTTGGACTAGATGATCCTTGGAGGTCCCTTCCAACTGAACTTTTCTGTCGTAAAGCAAGGGTAACTTAAAGCCTGTTTTCCAATTTCAGTAGCAGTCTTGCTTTTCTGCGTGTTATTAGCCTATGCTAGAGCCAAGTTTAGAAGGCTGTTTCAAGTTTCCTTCCAAACTTGTTCAAATATAAAGTTAACGGGATGAGCATGTTTTCACAGTGTATTGTATCTTCTTTTTCACATGCATAGCATTGGTGGGACTGCCAGTTGTTTTTGAAGGGTTTGTCTTGTGAGGCAGCATCAAAACGAGTACTCATTTTGTCATTGGACTTCCTTACAGATAATAGAAGAAAGAGTGGCAAATGTGCCCTGCCATGTATTCGCCGTGACTGGTTCTCTGTAGGCTCTGTATCCAAAATGATTGTTATAGCCTTTTTAATACGTGAGGTTTAGTAGTGAGTGTTTCTTTGCTCATTGCCATCAGCAGTCCCAGGCGGTTTTACACGCTGTTTGCTGCACGATGGTCTCTGCTTCTCAATACTTAACATCCATCTGAGGATGTGAAATTTTCAGCGTTGAAGAACACACGGCTTGGTTTCAGGTGGCCTCTGCCATCGTACCAGGTGGAAGTACAGTCTGTTACTGGCTGGCAGTTTGAGACACCTAAAAATTGGAAGATACTGTGATGTCTCGTTCTTCTATCTATGTTTTTTCCATACGCTCTGGTGGCATTCTGGCACCCGGTGACATTGTATTGCTGTAGGAACCACTTAACCAATTAATTAATTTGCTAATGGGATTATTTTTTATTACCTATGTTGCTTTTGTTAGGAAATGTTCAATAATTACATTTCCAGAGTGATTAACTCTGATGGCACTTTGGATTGTGAGCGGATGGAAACTAAGGAGCCTGCGTGTTAATGAATGTACATTTTTTTAAAAAAACGTGTGGAAGGAATGGAGAAACAGAATGCACGTACGATGCATTAGACTTACGCCCCTCTATAGCTGCCTTCCGGCTGTCACGCACGTGCTTTGCTTCATCTGATATTCCTGAGAGTGGAGAGAGATCTTTTGGATGTTACTGGAAGGTTCTCTTTTTATAGAGTCTTGTTTTATGTTTATGTCCCCAAAAGCATTTCAGAATTTTTAGAAGGATGTCCTATCTAACTCTCTACGCGTGGAAATAGCTATAAGGTCTTTGTTGTAACTCCAGCTCTTCTGCCGTATCTTCTGAATCTGTTTGTGGCTCTGTGGCTTTTTCTTTCTTAGCACTTAGATACTGGCACTGAAATATTACGCCCTTGTTTTAAAAAAAGCAGCGGGGGGGAAGATCAGTCATAGTGTGGATGAGTTTAGATCTCGAACTGAAATTCTAAATTCCACGTCTGTGTAAGGGAAGAAGTATGAATTACATGTTTTATTAGCCTCTCAGATTTCTGTCAGAGCTGCCAGTTCAAGTGTAAGCTGCCTTGGTTTCCGTTTGAGCAACTTTCCTGCTTCGTTCTGTATCTGTTTCTCCATTTATAGAACAGAAGCAGTAATTACTTATTATATTAAAATGTGCTGAAGATAAAACTTGTATTTTTATTAGGGCTCAAGGTTGTGAAGAGGTAGATTATTAAGTGGTAGATATCATGTGCTTTCTGCTAATATTTGTAAAGCTTTGGGGTTCGACAGCTGAAAGGGGAGCATGAAAAGGATGTTCGCCTCTAAAGTACTAGGGTCAATTTGTTTGTTACATCACTTATCTCTGCTTCCCAACCACTGATCTTTTGCAACGGTTGTCTTTGAAGCTGCAGGCTCTGGGAAAAGGTCCGGCTACAAGTAAAAGCAAAGATGACCTTGTGGTGGCAGAGGTGGAAATCAACGATGTCCCCCTCACGTGCAGAAACCTGCTGACGAGAGGACAGACTCAGGATGAGGTACGTTCAGGCTCTACATCTGGTTCGTTAGGCTTGGCAGCACGCTTGTACCCGTTTGTAAGGTTAAAAGAGCTTGCAATAAACTGTATTCAGTGGTTGTTCCCTCTTTTTATAAAACTCGTGTTTCCTAAGACACTTTGTTTAGTAGTTTATTGGTTTGTTCAATAGAATGTTGTATGATGAGGTCAGGTAGCATAGCAGTATCCTTTAGCAGGCACCGTTCGTTCTCTTACCGCTTTATTAGTAGACTTCTGGTCTTTTTATACACAACATGGCTTAAATCACTTTGGGGTTTTTGTGTGTGCTTTGTTTATTGTTGGTAAACTTGTCACTGGGTTTTTTAAATTGTTTGTAGATAAGTCGACTGAGTGGAGCAGCCGTCTCTACTCGAGGGAGATTCATGACCGCAGAAGAGAAAGCAAAAGTGGGACCTGGGTTTGTATTTCTTTTTGGGGGTTTCTCTGTTTTTTTCCTCATCGGGTGGCTGAGTGGTGGGGTTTTTGTTTGTTTTGGTTTTCATGAGCAGTGTCACATTTGGGTGCCAGAGCGAACTGACTATTGAGTGTTTCGAATGTGTTTACCATTATGACGGTACAGACTGCATAGCTGCTTTCCTACCTGCTTAATATTGACACGTGAAATAAAAAACCAAACAACAAACAAACCACAAATGTGACAGATCAGACTGTGCTGAACTTCTTCCGATGGAACACTATACTGGATCTCTTGTGCATTTTGCTGAGAATGGGCAACTTTCCAATTATGAAGAAAGCTATTATTTCATAGACTCGGTGCTTTTAGTTAGTTAACCTTTCATGTGAACAAGCAAATTGAAGTTTTCAGTGGTAGAACTTTAATTAAAGTCGTCATGTAAATAACTTCTGAATCTTTTTAGTTTTCAGTGCAAAGCTTTGTTCACTGAGCACTGTGATATTCACTGAATATGTATTTACTTCCTTATTTGAAGAGTATTCCAAATCTTTATGAAACACTTTGTGTCTAGGTGACTGTAATATAATTAGATTGAATCCATTATTGTATGTTCTCGTGGGTTTAATGGAATATTTGACGTTTCCTTTCCAGAGATCGTCCTTTGTATCTCCATGTCCAGGGTCAGACACGGGAATTGGTTGACAGTAAGTGTACAAAGCATTCTGCTTTTTCTCTTGTTGTTTCTGATAAAGGGGTTTTACTTAGGGACTTTGTTAGGATCAGTATGGGTTTGTACTATAAATATCTCCGTGCTGATAACAGACCCCATCTAAATGTTGATGTTAAGGTCTCTGCTCAAAACTACCTAAGGTGCTGTGTACTGCATCCTGTAAGTCATGAAACAAAAACTTTTGATAGACTACAAGGAAGGTAGGGTTCCTAGGCAGGTACAGCTCTTACGTATAAGTTTACTCACTGATAGCACGCTGAGATCCCTTTACAACAGGTGTGTGACTTCCCTTTAATAGACAAGTATGAACATTTTTTGTGAAATAGCTACATTTCCATTAGAAGCACAAAGAACTCCTGCCTTGCCTATGCCTGCTGGGAAAAAAGAAAACTACGAACTGTTCAGGTGCTCATTTGTTCCGTGTATCAGTTCACGGGCTTGCCCTCAGTTGTCTCTTGAAACTTGAAGCTGCCCGCTTGCATCTACCGTGATTTCCATAGCCAGTAAACAATTTTTGATGTGTTTAGTTTGCTCATTCATGCAGATGTAAATTCTATGCAAGGCTAATGTAAGTGTTTTTAGCATTTGCTAAAATGTGTGGGCTAAAACTACCCACCTGCATATATTAACCTAAGCTTTATCAGGCTAGGAGTGGAGAAAGAATCCTGCTGCTCGTTGCCATCCTTTGTGATCCAATCCCAGGCTGCTAACATTGGGCCCCACTGTCAGGTGCAATCTTTTTGCCTGTAGATCCGCTGTCACAGAATATGGGAAAATAACCAAACTGTGAAACGACCAGGTGAATCTGGGCAGTTGACAGGGGCTAAAATAGAAATGAATTTCATATTCTGTCAACTAGGAGCTGTTAACCGAATTAAAGAGATAATAACTAATGGAGTAGTAAAAGCAGCCACGGGTTCTAGTCCGACGTTCAACGGAGCTACGGTTACTGTCTATCACCAGCCAGCCCCTATTACTCAGTTGTCTCCAGCAGTGGGCCAAAAACCTCCATTCCAGTCAGGGGTGAGTAATTAATTAATGTGACTTTAATTGAATATCATTGATTACAAGATTTGCGTATTACAAAGTATACATGTAATGTGCTATTTATTTAATAAAAAAAAAAAACAACCACCCACCCCCCCAAAAAAAAACCAAAACAAAAAACCACGCCAAAAATAAAAAACTGGTGTGTTGTGAAAACTGGAGGAGTAATCAGACTGAGTCTGAAGAGTTGAGACTCAGATGACAGTAGCCTCCTAAAAGAAAAGGGATGGAGAGAGCAGTCCTGCTTACAGGAAAGCGAAGGGCTGACTGTGCCATCCGACACTTAACTGTTCTGACTGTCACAGAAATAAGATTTCTGGCCTCCAGCGAAATGAACATCCTAATTCTTGGAGTGAAATAATAACCTTTTACTGTTACGTTCACAGATGCATTATGTCCAGGACAAGTTATTTGTTGGTCTGGAACATGCTGTACCTACATTTAACGTGAAGGAGAAGGTGGAAGGGCCTGGTTGCTCCTACTTGCAGCACATTCAAATTGAAACGGGTGCCAAAGTCTTTCTTCGTGGGAAAGGCTCAGGTTGCATAGAACCAGCATCAGGCAGAGAAGCTTTTGAACCCATGTACATCTACATCAGGTATGAGGGTTTTTAAAAAAGTAAAAATCCTAGTGACCAGTCATGAATGTAGGTTAATGTTTAATCCATTTGGGGAATTCTCAATTCTGACTGACTGAATGCAAATGAAATAGTTTTTGAACCTGACTTTTATTTTAATAGAGATCTCTCTAAAGTGATACAGATGTCAACCGTATGATGATATGGTATAAAGTGATATTCAACCCTAAGATACTGCTTTTATTAGGAGCGCAGTAAAGCTGTGTTCTTTTGGGGCTTGGGTTGTGATGTTGAGCTTTAAGGGAAGAATACAAAATGCACTGACCGATCAAGTCCATGTTCTGTGCTCATTTCTTGCAGTATTTAGACTAACCTGAATTTTCATGTAGAAAATAAATACTCATTGCTTTTGTCCACAATTGTATTGAATAGCTGCAGAGCTGCTAGAGTCCTGTTGAGAGGTGACTGATTGCTCATTAAAGGGATAAGATCTGACCGCAGGTTGCTGATGAAAGAAGTAGCTCCCAAATTTGGTGGAAACATTTGTGCTTATGAGGGTTTTTTGTATATGTTTTCAGTCACCCAAAGCCAGAAGGTTTGGCAGCTGCTAAAAAGCTGTGTGAGAATCTATTGCAAACCGTGAGTAGCTCTTAAAATAGGAGATTTCAGAGCCTGTCGTAGCTTTCACGTGTGCCTGGCTAATGATTTTTTTTTTTATGCTCTCAGCAAAACTGTTCATGTGTTCTGACTTGCTAATAGGTTTTTCCTTCTAAGTACTGCTGTCTGATTTTTGTACAGTGAATAAAATTTCTCAGGATGGAGCTGTAGTAATGGAATTTTGGGGAAAAAAATGAAAGTGCTTCCCGAGCAGAATGGGGGGCGGAAATTGTCTGACTGTATGCAAACATAAAGGAATCCTCCTTTTTTCTGATAGCTGTAGCTTCCCTTGCTTTAGCTTTAAAAGTTGTCCAGAGCCACGCTGTCTGCTTTACTTTTTCCTACAGTGATTGCGGTACCAAAAAAATTTTAGAAAATCTTTCACATGTACACATAGAAAATTAATTTCTCAGCTTTTCTTATATGAATGCAAATAAAGTAAAATCCTGTGAGACAGCCTTTCTGATAGTATTGATAATTGAGTATGGACAACACAGTTTCTTTTGAAACATATGTGGAAGCTTTTAGATTCTTCGAGTATTTTTGTCTCTATTGAAGTAATTAGTTTGCCACTCTGTATTACCTGTGAAAGATTATCCCGTATTTTACACAAATCTGTCACAGAGACCAGCAGGATTAGTGGGATGTTCAGCGGGGTTTTGGTGGTGGTTTTGGTCTGTGGGTTTTTTGTTTTTGTTTTTTATGTTGGGAATGTTGCTGTCTTTGTGCATTGTATGTTCTGTAATCGAAGTCCCCTTACGGTTTTATGGGGATGCATGGTAAGATGCCTTTGCATGCAAAAGATTAGACAATAAACGTCTATTTACTATATTAATCTTTTAAAATCTTTTGTAGGTTCATGCTGAATACTCCCGATTTGTGAATCAGATAACCACTGCAGTACCCTTAGCAGGTAAATGTTAGCCATAATGAAGTCTCTGGAGTTGCATTCTGCAGAGCTGTACTTACAGTCAGTTTTGTGGAATTTATTTACCTGTGGAAGTCTTTGTGTTAAGTCCTTCAGTTGAAAAGGAGTCCAGCTTCTTTTATGTTCGGTAATTACATTTACTGTTTTTGTGACTCTGACTGAATTGAAGATGACCCTTTTTTCCCCTTTCTCTCACCAGGCTTCACACAGCCTGCCGCTATAAATAGCGTACCTTCCCAGCCATCGTATTACCCTTCCAATGGGTATCAGTCTGGTTATCCTGTTGTTCCCCCTCCTCAACAACCAGTTCAGCCGCCGTATGGTGTACCAGGCATAGTGCCCCCTGCAGTGCCGTTGGCACCTGGAGTCTTAACAACACTACCTACAGGAGTTCCGCCTGTGCCGACACAGTATCCAATATCCCAAGTACAGCCTCCAGCCAGCACTGGCCAGGTACTGCCACAGAGTAATAATTTGCCCTGTAGTTGTCAATTTATGAAGGTGTTTCTTTGCTAACAATAAAATACTTAAAGTAGTTCCAGATGGATAATTCTTCTTTGGGGCATTTTTTTGGTTATTGCTTTGCTGATGCTTCTGTCTAAGCAACTAAATTGTTGGTGTGGCTGCTTCATACTGCATTTTTCATATCATACTCCCCCGTTAACATAAAGGATATTTGCAGAGGGCGGTCACTTGTTTATGAAAAATGTTATCACAGGCTGTGATACAGCTATGTAGGTAGAATGAGTTTGAGTTACAGATAGTGAGTAGTTTGAGGTGGGAGGATTCTATAAATATATATATAAATGAAATACGTGTTTTATCTTTAAGTTGTGATTTTAGGTTCTGCAAAGCACTACTAGTTGTGTGTTCTACCCCTCTGTATGAAACTGTACATTGAATTAATACTTTATATGCATATTATCAAATTTTCTTGTGTTTTGTTTTCAACTTCTGCATGCCAGAGTCCACTGAGTGGTCCTTTTCTTCCTGCTGCCCCAGTAAAAACAACCGTGCCGACTGGTACGCAGCCACAAGTCCAACCCCATCCCCAAGGTCAAAAGAGACGCTTCACTGAAGAACTACCGGATGAGAGAGAGTCAGGACTGCTGGGATATCAGGTGGAATAAAATCAGCAATTTTACTTCATTCACCAAAATGGAACTTGGCTGGAGAGGGATTGTTATTAGCACAGTTTATTTGACAACAGCCATGCAAGACCTTTGGCAGATGGCAGCAATCGTTACAAAACATGGAGACCACGCTTTGGTTTCTTTGAGTGGATGCACTGTTCTTAAACTGTGACTGACTTGATTCATTGGCGGCTTGCTTTCCATACCCTCGATCTTTCATGAAGAATAGCAGTGCGTTCAGGTCAAAGAGATGACAAGAGCGTGTTACTGGTTAGTTTAAAGAGTGATTATCTGGGGGTTGGGGTTTTTCTTTTTTTGTGGGTCTTTTGAGTGGGCTTGTTTGAGGGGTAGGAGGGAAACGTGGTAATAACTTCCAGATCTTCCCATTTACCTTTCTTGCAGGTTGCACTTGAGAGGATTTCAAGAAGCCTAGTTTTAAGAGATTGACTATATTTTTTTTTTAGAGAGCAAGTGTTAAACAGTTGATCATTTTTCTTAAAATTTTGAGTTCTTCAGCCTTATATGTGAGAAAAGGGAGTTTCTGCAAATCCTTCTGTGATGATACACCCCGGCTCACAGGCAGAAACCCTTAAAAGCTTTGCCTAGAGAAAATAAGGAACTGCCTGTATATTAGACCTAATATTAGTATCTTGAGCCCAGTTTACTGTGGCATGAGGTCTATACAGTATTCAGAATGACCTGGCTGAGGAGGTAATAAGTCAATCCGTGAACTAAGCAGCTATCTGTACTGTCCTGAACTACTGGAAAGGTGGAGTAGGTGGTGAGGTGTCTTCCCTATTGGTGCTCAGGCGTGTTTCTTACTACATTCCCCTCAGTATTTTTAGGAGAAAGCATTTTGTTTGACAGTGGCGATTAGTGGTTTCTTCTACTAGTTGGCAATATGCTCTGAAAAGTTGGGTTTCCTATCATTATCATTAAGGAGCTATAGCTTATGTTGTAGTTGTAGATTTGCTAATGCCGTGTGTTTTTCTGCTCATAGCATGGACCCATTCATATGACTAATTTAGGTACAGGCTTCTCCAGTCAGAGTGAAATCGATGGAGCCGGGTCGAAGCCAGCAAGTTCCTCAGGAAAGGAGAGAGAGAGGGACAGGTGAGTGATGAAAGAATTATGTTCAGGTCTCTTCTGATTCTGATGGAAGGCTTATTTCAGAGATGAGCTGTGTTTCATGTTCTCTTCTGTGACTTGCGGGTTGGGGGGGTCGTTTGTTTTGTTGTGGGTGGGTGTTTGTGTTGGTTTTGGTTTGTGGTTTTTTGGTTTGTTTTTTTTTTTAAGGAGAAGGGATGCAAGGGTTAATTTTTCATGCTGCATAATGAAAATAGCTTAATTTCCACTCCTCCCTAAGTCTGTATGCTCTTACTTTGTCTGGGTCTGGTATTTTGCCAGCTTCTTGAGATAACAGGGTATTCTTGTGAAATAGGTTAGCACTTAGACTTTAAATGATTCCAGTTTAAAAAAAAAAACTGGAAAAGTTGTAAACTTGAAATTTTGCAGCCTGAAATTTCAGGGGAAGATTTACTTGATAGTCCCTTTCGGTTTTCAGTCATTATGAAATACATCAAGTGTATTGGTAAAGTTTTCTATGTTCTGCGTCTTGTACATAGTCCTGAATTCAGCCTAGCTATTTGAAGTCATCAGGCATCGCTGCTCTTCCTTATGCACTACAGCGTATCAAGCCACAAAACTGTCAGGCTTGCACTTTATTCCATGGCATCATAGCATGGTTTGGGTTGGAAGAGACCTTTAAAGATCATCTTAGTCCACCCCCTCTGCTGTGGGGAGGGACATCTTCCACTGGATCAGGTTGCTCAGAGCCCCATCCAACCTGACCTTGAACACTTCCAGGGATGGGGCATATCAGAAAATCATGTCTTCCTTATATCTAATCTAAATCTGCCCTATTTTAGTTTAGAACCATTCCCCCTTGTCCTGTCGCTACAGGCCTTGGTAAGAAGTCTCTCCCCAGCTTTCTTATAAGCCCCCTTTAGGTATTGAAAGGCTGCAATAAGGTCTCCCCACAGCCTTCTCTTCTCCAGGCTGAACACCCCCAGCTCTCTCAGCCTTTCTCCATAGCAGAGGTGTTCCAGCCCTCTCATCGTTTTTGTGGACCTCCTCTGGACCAGCTCCAGCAGGTCCGTGTCTTGTGCTGGGGACCCCAGAGCTGGATGCAATGCTCCAGGTGGGGTCTCGAGAGCAGAGTAGAGGGGCAGAATCCCCTCCCTCAACCTACTGGCCACACTTCTTTTTATGCAGCCCAGGACCCAATTGGCTTTCTGGGCTGCAAGCACATGTTGCCAGCTTGTGTCCAATTTTTCATCCACCAGTATCCCCAGTTCCTTCTTGGCAGGGCTGCTCTCAATCCATTCATCCCCCAGACAGTGTTGATACTGGGAATTGCTCTGACCCAAGTGCAGGACCTTGCACTTGGCCTTGTTGAACCTCATGAGGTTCGCACAGGTCCACTCAAGCCTGTCAAGGTCCCCTGGGTGGCATCCCTTCCCTCTAGTGTATCGGCTGCACCACTCCGCTTGCCCTCATCTGCAGACTTGCTGAGGGCGCACTCGATCCCGCTGTCTCTGTCATTGATGAAGACCTTAAATAGTATTGGTCCCAGTACAGACCCTTGAGGGACACCACTTGTTACTGGTTTGCACTTGGACATTGAGCCGTTGACTGTAGCTCTTTGGCTGCGGCCATCCAGCCAGTTCCTTAGCCATCTGATAGTCCCTCTGTCAAATCTATTTCTCCAATTTAGAGGTAAGAATGTTGGGGAGGACCGTATTGAAGGCCTTACAGAAGTGTGACATCAGTTGCTCTTCCCTTATCCTCCGATGCCATTACTCTGTCATAGAAGGCCACTAGGTTAGTCAGGCAATTAAAAGTTAAACTCCTCAGGTTGAGGACTGAGTTTATGAATTTGTTATTACCTTTGACTCCTTGCTTGTTTTAGAAAAGAAAAAATAAGGGCTTGCATTGGTTTAAATAGGCAGTTGATGCCTCCGCCAGCTTTTCCTGTCACTGGGATGAAATCGGAATCTGAAGAAAGAAACGGTGCGGGGTCTTTACCAGGCAACCATGGTGAGTGCGATGAATCAAATACACTTGTAAGTCAAGTTTCCGTTCCCAAATGAGTTTGCGCTGGTCTTAACGCTCATTTAAATCCGTGATTTTTTTTGTCTGTTCTTTACACTGCATTGTTTAAGTGAAAAGCAGGTTGTATTGCACTGCTCTAAAATCACTTATGCTCGCTTGTGATTTTCAATGTGACACATGACACTTTTCTTAACTTTAATAAATATCTGTATGAATGAGGGGAGTGTAACTAAGGACCAAAGACAGGTATTTGTGACCCATCGGTCAGCTGAGGCACAGGATCTCACGGGATTGTTTTGTGACGCAGATCTGTGGCTTTACATTGTGAACAGCTATCTCTAGAGGCACTAAGGAGTATCAGTGGGAGTTATGGTTCAGGTGTGTATTTCCAGACATGAGTTATGTCTGCCTTGTCTGCAAACAACAGGAGTGCTGTCAGCATTTCATCCTTTTGTAGGGCTTTCATACATGGAGTATTTGCAACTTGGTAAAACATGTCATCGTTTTAACTCTCCTGGTAGTTTAGTGCCTTTCAGGTCTGCAGGTACATCATGTTAGTCTGTTTAACCTTAGTTTTTCTGCAGTATTGGTCCCAGAGATTGCTCTTCTGTTAGCTTTCTTTTGAACAAAATTTCTACTTTTCTTTACATATTTATCTCTTTAACGGTGAAATTGCCATCACTTAGACCCATTTGCTAACTTTACCTTTTTTGTGTGTTTCTTTCTTCTTTCTCTGTTCTCTTACATGGTTCTGATGGATCACATGTGCTGTTGCTGGTGCTGTTTCGTGTGGCCTTCGACCTTGGATGACCATTGGCCTTGTGACCTCAAAATGGTGTCCAACTAACGATTTACAATTAACATCTTTTTTTATTAACTTGTTTTGGGGCATTTTATCTCTTTTTGTTTTTGTTTTTCCTTCTTGGGGGCTGGGGGGTTTGTTTTGTTTTCCCCTCCTAGATCATCAAGCTAAGAAGATGAAAACTGCAGAAAAGGGCTTTGGATTAGTGGCATATGCTGGAGATTCCTCAGATGAAGAGGAGGAACATGGTGGCCATAAAAACGCAAGTACTTTTTCACAGGGATGGAGTTTGGGATACCAGTACCCTTCCTCACAACAGCGAGCTAAACAACAGATGCCATTTTGGATGGCACCGTAAAAGCTGCAGAAGAGTTTTCATTCATCTTTTTTTTTTTTAATTTTTTTTTCCCCTCTAGCAATAATGCATGTATATTACAAAATGAACTTTGCAAATACGCATTGTTTTTACATTTGCAGAAGCTAAAGGTTCAGTATTCCCCCTTGAAAGGGCTCCATTATTTTTAAAATCCTTCTTTCTGCAGTGAATTTGTCAATTACAAAAAAAATATATTTGAAATGGTATTCTGACAGGGCTAGTCCCTTGTACAGTGGGGGAGGTACTGTAAAGAGAAACTAGGGAAGCCTGGCAGTCCGCGTTTCCCATTTTTCCAGGATAACTTAAAAATGGAAAGAGTCAGTCACGCTGACTTCATTCTACACCTGGTGTTTGTATTGTATTGAGTGTTCCTGCTGTCAGCCTGTGTTTGCAGTCCCGTTGGGCTAATGGTGACCCCGGCTTCAATGTTCGGACTCTCAACAAAGGAAAGGAATGCACAGTAGTTCTGAAAAACTTGAGGATCCCATTTCCTCAAACTCGTCATTTGTTTTTACTTTAAGCATCTCCTGTAACTCAGCATTGGTTGTTTTTTGGTTTGTTTTTTTTTTTTTTTTCTTTAAAATGTGGTTTTACTAACCCCACAACTTCTCGTTCTAGCCAAATGTCGGGGCGGGGGGGTGCTCGGTTTTTTGGATGGGTTCATCTTGCCGCTGATCCCCAGGCCGACCCGGCGCTGTGGCGCGGGTGCTTAACCTCCTCCAGTCACCCGTGCGTTTCGTTCCCCTGCAGCCCTTCGGATGGAAATCCTTCTCCCGGGGTCCCCCCCTCTCTTAACTCATTCACTAAATTGATTCTACCCCTTCTGTTTCACGGTGGTTTCACAAAGAAAAGGCGGGCAGCAGCCGGGTCCGCGCAGCGCCCGGACCCTTGCTCTTGCCTTGGAAGCGCGCAAGCGGAACCTGGGAATAATGGGTTTGGATTTTAACGGACGTGAACTGCAACACGGGCTTTCGTGGCGGGGCGGGCTGTTGCAGAAAGAACTCTTTTGTACTGAGAGCAGCGGCGCCTGGGACTGCAGCGAGAGAGCAGCGGCGCCTGGGACTGCAGCGAGGCGCTGGCCCGCTTTCCCAAGGGGAGAAATGGTTTTAAAAATGGGGACGTGTGTCGCTGCTGCACACTGGAAGACCTTGCTGGCTCACTTGTACAAACGTCGTCTTTGCTACGTGTTGTAAATAATTAGAACTGTACTTTCATTATAAATAAATGTATAAACATTCCGCTTGTGGCTGCTTTTTTGGGTGAGCCCGGGCGAGGCCGCGGCCCCCGGTCCCGGAGCCGGCGGCGGGCG